TTCATCTCGTTGCCGGCGGATGTTCTGCCAGAATACCTTGTTTTCCGTGTGAAAATTCGACTCCAACGCCTCACTGATTTTCTCCCAGGAATTAGCTTTGACTTTTGCCTCTCCTTTCCTTTCGCTGCCGCCTTGCATGCCTCGACCAGTTGATTTGAAGGCTGTATGTTTTCAAACCATTTCTTGAACACTGCCTTCTCTTTAATTGCCAGTTGTATCTCTTTTGTCCACCAACATCTTTTCTGACTTCTAGGCGGCAGGCCAACTCGTTTAAATCCGCAGCATTTGCAGCAGCCTCGATTGTGCCGCTCTTAAGGTGCTGCCACTCGGTTTCCACATCGGAGGTCATCACCGGGATCTTTTCAAACCGTCGTGCGATGTTGCCACCGAGGATACTGTTTCTCATTTGATTCTCTGATTGATTCATACCACCGTATGTTATGGTACTACATTTCTTACAGCGCAGCGTGCCAACAACAAGGTGGTGTCGGTTGATAGCTCTGCGCTTTTCTTTACGCGAACATCCGTTACTGAGCGTCTTAGGTCAGACGATACGATTATCTGGTCGATCATCGACGTCTGTACACAACTTCTGGTACTAGGTATACTGATGCACTCTTCGATGCTCGAAGAAGGTGCTCATAATGGGCAGTCCGTTGTTTGCACCAAACCGCAACAGCTTCGTACCCTTTTCGTTGAGGTCGATAATGCCGTTTTTCCCATCACACCGTTCGACTTTTCAGCATCTACTCCGAGATGTGCGTTAAAATCACCCATAAGTATGAGGGATGCTGTATTCGGCACTTCGGACGGAGCGCACTGCATTTCATCACGGAAGGAATCATATTCTCCCTCCAAATTTGGCGCATAGACCTGTACTGAGATAAGCACTTTAGCCTGTTTTAGCTTCAGTCGAAAGATTAACCACCCTGTCGCTGACTGGCTTCCAATCAATAATTCTCTCCGCGATGTTGGGTTCTAGCAGAACACCAACACCAGTCTAAGCGCTCGTCGTGGTATCGATGCCGGTGTAGAATAGCTTCCACTCGCAGAGGTTCAGGATTCCATAGCCTTGGCGCTTTGTCGACGAGAGTCCAACAATGTCTTGTTGATACTTTATGGCCTCATAAACTAACTCTTGTTCTTTCCCTGTGAATGTGCATATATTCCAATTTCCGGCTGTCAGCTCCCCCTTATATTGTCGTTCTCGTGGGGCCTTTTTGACGTGTCATCGCGCCGTCTGCTTGCTCCATTCAGAACGGTT